AGAGATAAATATGTTTATTATCTTCTGAATAAACTGGATTGACTTCGTTGTCCTTCTTCATATGGCTGAGATGTCGAAGAAGCACATAAAATTGGAACGAACTGATAAGTATGTCAACAATTTAAAGCCATTATGACCATACGGATCTCTTCCAGAATAAGCTCTATTGGTATTAGACACGTAGGGGAAGGCGCAATTGTCGTATGAAACCTGTTCAATTTGCCAAAAGCTTGCGACGATACCACCAAAACTTTGCAGGAAAGTGAATAACCACTCAGTTGAGAGAGATTAATAAATCAAAACAGCCCCCATCGTGATTTCGCTGTGAAAATTATATTTCACTGAAATCCATTAGAGTACCGTGAGGAAGAAACAAATGACAAACAATTATGATAGAACATCAATATGATATTGAAGTGGCCATTGCATATCAAGATTGATAATAGTACAAAACTTCATATGATGGAGAATGGTTTCATTAACGTAATCTGTTTCTGAAATTACTGACATTAAGTCCCAGCCCAATACACATACATGAATAAACACATGTACGTTTATACATATAGGTGTATTGGTGGATATTCAATAAATATCCGCTTATGTTTATTTCAATTTGTACATTCTAATTATCAAATTAGGTTAACTGATTCAACTAAATTCAGTAAATTTAAGCATATGAAAGTGAATATGAATATATTAATAAAAAGTGAATGAATTAACATAAAATAGTGATATTCATTACATATGGAGTGAATATTTACTGTAGTAAACAAATCAGCACGTCCAAATCATGGAATTCATATTCGATGACTCTACAAAGTATACTCCATTATCTTCCCAATATGAGATAAAATATGAGCGAATCTTAATTGCACATATTCAGGCTATTTACTGAAGAAAATAAAAAGTTTTCTCTTATTTCACTGCATGTTTATAATTGAATAATTAATAGTTAAGTGTCAAATATGCATTGCATTAGTATAATTTGCTTTGTTGTGAAAATGTCTTTTTCGACAAAGGTTTTACCTCACTCTTTCCTTGCGGTTCTACGAATTGAAGGTCACACAAGAGAAGAGGGATTTGTTCTGGGGCGAAAGTTGTACTCAAACAAGTGTGCTTATTATGATTGTGAAATGATATGTGTTGGATGCATTTTGCGATGGGATAATGATTTTGATCTTTTATTACTCACTGATTCAACGTCGCCGAGTAGCTTGATGAAACTACTTAATTAGCAAAATGCACAGAAGCGGAATATTCCACTCACGATCTACTAACCAATACTATTGACTGTGCCGAAAAATGGAGTTGGGGTACTTGATGATTTGCCTATTCACCTACTCATTTTATTTCTTTGATTGGGTGCCAATTTTATTGAATGGAGATATTTCACCCTCCCACATTCGCGGCGAAAAGTGATTCGGAGAAGAGGGCAAATGATAATTACTATTTAGAAATGGTGAATGAAATTGGTCCAAACTATAGAAATGAAGGGTCCGATTAGTATTGTGCGAATGTCTCGATGTTGGTTTTGTTTATCTTCTTTCATGATTATCCTCGTAAAATATTGTGCAAATGCTGCGATCAAAATACATTTGTTTGTTTGATTTAGGACTGAAGAAATTTCACTTCAAACTGGAATAGCGTATAACAAGCTGCAAAATTGGTACAACCATCCAATCTTCAATTGGCCTCAAGCGTTAAAATGGAACGAGTGAATGAAAGTTCATCCTGTACTGAAAGTGTCTGTGCGAGTTGAATGGAGACTGAGTGATTGAGACAAGTGAGTCAATTGAGACATTTTCTACCAATTATAAAATAACCGATCTCACGAAACTGAATGGATGGAAATGTTTATGAAGCACAAATTTGGCTAATCCTTGTATTCACATAAGTGAGATAAGTTGCTTAGGGTGGGTTCAACTTCCAAATTGAGTGATGCAACTGAAAACTAATGTTCGTGTTTTCATTCTTGGTATAAGGTTGTCCTGAGTTGACAATAATTACCATCATGAGAATTACTAGTAATATTAACAAAATATAATAATAATTGTAATTAAAGGGAATATTTAATTATGATAACTGCTTGAATGAAGATTTGTTATTAAAATGTAATGCTCAAATGCATAGTTTTTATTGTGTCAGGATTATGTTTGTTTAAGTGTAATGAAACCTGGCACCACATTTGACATTATACCCAGGGTCATGCCAGCTACAAATCAGTGCTCCATATGTCTGGGGGAAATGAAAGCCTCAATCGGAATGCTAGGTGGATGTGAACACATCTTCTGTTACGATTGCATCAAGAAGTGGTCTGAAGCTAAACGAACGTGTCCCATTGACCGCACACCATTTGACTCTATCAATATACTACACGAAATTGGTGGTGCAATTGTGGAAGAAGTTTGTTATAATGCTCACTTTAAATGGCATTACATTTTAGGAAAAGCTAGAACTACGGAGGTCGAATCAAGGCAATAGTTCTTATAGAGATGGTGACGACGTTAACGACTACGATATTAATGACCTGATCTCCCTCTTCTTCGAAATTTTGTTTGACTATTCTTCCGATGAAGAAGACACCGACTACGACAATGACCACTACGATGACCATAACGATGACGACGATAGCCACGATGACTTTAGTTTACTTGACTTTTCGTCCGATGACGAAGACACCGACGACGACGACGACAGCAACGACAATCATGAGGACGACGACGATGACAACGGCGACCATTACTCCCTTTCATTTGCAGCCTCATCTAATAGTCTGCTTCATCGCGGCTCGCCTTCAAGAATTTCGCATTGCATCTACTTATGTTCACAGTGCCTGGGTTGTGTCCGAGAAGAAGATATGTATTGCTGTCTACTTTGTGGTGGACTAATTCATATTGAATGCTATTTGCAAATTTGTCGTCGTCTTGCAGTTAGCAGTTGTCCACTCTGTGGGGATAGTGGAATCCGAAACCACTGAGTGTACTTAATTGTTCAAGGAGGTCTTTCGCGGTTCATCAAGTAATGCGTCGAGGAAGTCATTGAACTTTTACTTCACATACTTTGCGCTTGAGTCGTCCTATTTCCCCTCCTCCCACCCTAACCCACCCCTCCCCCCCCCTTCTCCTCTCACCCCGTTCCACACCACTTCTTCTGAACCTCGCACATTTCCGCGAATGTGTGAAAGAGAGAGAGCAACTTTGGAAGAACTGTAAATTGTGGATTACGTTAATGGCTTCTCCCTTTACTTTGTTCACGTTAATTATCTTCCACTTTTACCTCCCCTTCTTCCTCTACTTCTCATTATTATTGTTCCTGTTGTTATAATTAACATAAATAAAGATAATTACTCACTCAACTTCGTCTATGCAAACCCCTGTGTTCTCTTCACTGTGTAAAAGAAGATGGAATGTGAGGTCACAATTAACGGTAACCAATATTCGCCTCTTATGTTAAAAACGGGAAGTGCTGAAAAATACTAGACTCACATTTGAGATTGTGTTGGTCAATTTTGTGCGGTTACTTGGCCTGGAAGTCAATAAAGTCCAAGATGATATTGTTGGTAAGAAGACGATCATTTCAAAATCCGCTTGAATTAGTGCTGTGCCCAAACTGTTTAATAAGATGATAATGGCAGTGCCCACACATTTGCATACACACATTTTGTCCAACAGCATCAAATGAAAATTTGTTAATAAGAGTAAAATCGATGCATATACTTAATTTCTACCATAAGATCCACTGGGAACATTCCAGATCCAACAAATTCTTAAGCGCTTCACCCACTTTGGAACTGCAGACTCATTTTGCAGGCTTTGAAGCATTCGCCGTGTTTGTTCAGAGCATCAAGTGTGAGGTTGCCCACCATTACATTCAGTTTACGATCTCGTTGATTCAACACACTGTCCCATTAACTCCTCATTCACTTTTGGCATTTTGGGAATGAAATGAACCAACTCATGAACATTACTCCACCAAAAATAGGTGAATCGATTGCATTTGATATCATTCACTCAGTTGTGTTCATTTGGCAGTCTTGAAGTTACGTGATTAGACGAGAGGAACATGAGTCGAGCAACATTCACCCTGATCAATTTTATTCTCTTCAAGAGCACGTTCTTCTGCTTTGTCGCCTTAAATGACCAAAAAATCTTAGTTTAATGAAAATATTGATGAATGAGGTAAGCATTTGTCACAGAATTGTGCGCAATTAAGATGGGGAAATGTAGTTCTTGGGTCACTATATAAAACGAAATTAAATCAGATTCGCTTTAATTGCCAAATAGAAAGACGAAGCAAGCATAGTCAGAAGCCATACCCATTGACTTGATTGGCATTAGAACTGTCCAGAACTGGTCAAGAAGAGCATTGGTGAAATTCCGTTTGAGACGTTCTCCACAATTTATAAAATAACCGATCTCATAAACATGAATGGATGGATAGCTGTAAAAAGGCACAAATTTGGCTCATTTTTTATTCACATAAGTGAGATTAGTTGCTTAGGGTGGGTTCAACTTCTAAATTGGGTGATGCAACTGAAAACTAATGTTCGTGTTTTCATTCATGATATTAGGTTGTCCTGAGTGGACAAAAATTAGCATCATGAGAAATAATAGAAATATTAACAAAAATAATAATAATTGTAATTAAAGGGACTATTTAATTATGATAACTGCTTGAATGAACATTTGTTATTAAAATGTAATGCTCAAATGCATAGTTTTTATTGTGTCAGGATTATGTTTGTTTAAGTGTAATGAAACCTGGCACCACATTTGACATTATACCCAGGGTCATGCCAGCTACAAATCAGTGCTCCATATGTCTGGGGGAAATGAAAGCCTCAATCGGAATGCTAGGTGGATGTGAACACATCTTCTGTTACGATTGCATCAAGAAGTGGTCTGAAGATAAACGAACGTGTCCTCTTGACCGCACACCATTTGACTCAATCAATATACTACACGAAATTGGTGGTGCAATTGTGGAAGAGGTTTGTTATGATGCTCACTTTAAATGACATTACATTTTAGGAAAAGCTAGAACCTCTGGAGTCAGATCAACTCTATAGTTCACTTAACAGTGCTCGCAATTTCCTTTGTCCACAATGTCGAAATAGATTAAGACGGATGAATTGAGTGCACTTAATTGTTATTACCCCTCCTCCTCCTCCTCCTCTACTCACTCCTTTCATTTGAGTAACTTCTCACTCCACATTCCTCCCTTTCATTTTCTTCATATTCTTCTTCTCTTTCATCACATTACCATTGCTCCTGTTGTAATAATTGGCATAACTAAAGCAAAATACTCGTCCTCCTTCGTCTATGTGTGGGACACGTCATAGCTTAACACGTCATCGCATGCCTGCACACCAGAATTGGGAGGTGCGAACTTACAAACAGTGACCAACCATTAACCTTTGTTTGTTTAACCTAATCTGCCATCCTCATCATGATTAAGCTTCCTGCGTTACACTTCATCCGCGATACACGTACTGAATAAACGTGCTCCGTGCTACACGTCTTTTGCCCTTATAGCTGGGTTATAGCTTAGCTGGTTCTGGGAGTCTAACAAGATGTTTGAGAATGTGCCATAGAGATTTCTGAGTCAGTCAGGCTCCTCCTCTACTCACTCCTTTCATTTGAGTAACTTCTCAATCCACATTCCTCCCTTTCATTATCTTCATATTCTTCTTCTTCTCTTTCATCAAATTACCATTGTCCCTGTTGTAATAATTAACATAACTAAAGCAAATTACTCGTCCTCCTTCGTCTATGCAAACCCATGTGTTCTCTTCACTGTGTAAAAGTTGATGGTATGTGAGATCACAATTTACGGTAACCGATATTCGCCTCTTAGGTCATGAACGGGAATGGCTGAAAAATTGTAAACTCACCTTTGAGATTTTGTTGGTCAATTTTGTTCAGTTGCTGGACCTGGAAGTCAATTAAGCCCAAGATGATATTGATGGCAAGAAGACGATCATTTCAAAATCTGCTTGAATTAGTGCTGTGCCAAAACTGTTCTATAAGATGATAATGGCAGTGACCGCACATTTGCATACACACATTTTGTCCAACAGTATCCAATGGAAATTCGTGAAGAAGAGTAAAATCCATGCATATGCACAACTTCTTCTTTTAGGTCCACGGGGAACATTTCAGATTCAACAAATACTTAAGAGCTTCAGTCACTTTGGAAATAAAGCCTCATTTTACAGGCTTTGAAGCATTCGCCGTGTTTGTTCAGAGCATCAAGTATAGGGTTGCCCACCCCTCCCCCCCCCCTTCTCCTCTCACCCCGTTCCACACCACTTCTTCTGAACCTCGCATATTTCCGCGAATGTGTGAGAGAGAGAGAGCAACTTTGGAAGAACTGTAAATGGTGGATTACGTTAATGGCTTCTCCCTTTACTTTGTTCACGTTAATTATCTTCCACTTTTACCTCCCCTTCTTCCTCTACTTCTCATTATTAGGGGTGCGCGATAGACTTACCTCCTCGTGGTGCACCCTGGACAAAATATTTTCTTACGGCAAAAAGTCTATCACTCGGCATTTGTTTTTGGCTTCGATTTATTATGATTAGCTTTAAAATAGGCTATAAGAAAAAT